TTTCCCTTATGCAGGGTGCTGGAACATATATGTTTCGGATTGATGATGAACGGGTCATTGATGCTACTAGAGCTGGAAGCATTGCTCATTTAATTAATCATTCTTGTGCAGTACGTTCTTTAAAACTTAATTTTACATTTACCATTAATCCTTTTATTACATGTTAAACATTGCCATTTCAATTAGCCTTCTAAATTTGATTTATGAGATTCACTTGGTACTGTTTTAAATTTAATGTAGAGTTTTTAGCTTATTATTTAAAGACTGGAGACTGGGGGATTTCTAATTTTTAATATTGGTGATTGTATGCTTGAGAATACATAAGCCCTGTCATAGCGTATTGGCAAATTTGTAGCATTGTTAAATGGCTTTTGATAAGATGAATTGCATTGATTTCAGAATAGTTTGATAAGACCTGTAACACCTTATCTATACATAGGTGCCTATTTCACATGAAAGAATATTATTGCTTTGGATATATGTAATCCTGTAAGTCCTTAACATATATATGTGTGGCATAATTGTAATGGGTGCCTCGGCTTCAAAATACCAGTCATCTTGCTACCTGCCATAGTATTTTTGGGATGGGTTGCCCTGCACCACTATATTGGAATTGACTAGTGACTACTATGCTATTGACATTAGTTTGGAAATACTGCAATTTGACTTGTTTATTTACTGATGAACCCATATATTTTGTTTTCTGGAGAAGAAAATAACTGCTTACCTATATAATTTTTTGTTTGTATGCAGCCAAATTGCTATTCAAGAGTTATAAGTGTTAATGGCGATGAGCATATTATAATATTTGCAAAGAGGGACATTAAACAATGGGAAGAGCTTACATATGATTATAGGTTTCCCTCTTATCCAAAGGAGTACTAATACATACACAAAAAAATATAGAACTCACTTTTGTATTCGTTTTAGTTGTGTAGTATTACACTTTCCAAATAAATTGTAATTTTTTTTTTGTTAATATTGTGCTGACTTTCTAAATTTAATATTCACGTGACAGATTTTTCTCAATTGATGAACGGCTTGCTTGTTACTGTGGTTTCCCAAAATGCCGAGGTGTAGTAAATGATACTGAGGCAGAAGAACGAGCTGCTACCCTATATGCACCACGAAGTGAACTAATAGATTGGAGAGGAGAGTGAGGTAAGTGACTGTGATCTTTCCTGTTTGACATCTTTGGTCATTATGAACTTTTCAATCATCACTTCTATAAGTCTATTGACGTGGATTATTAGGGTGTGGCTGCACATGTTTGCTTCACCCTTTGGGGATTTTTTTTGGTCAAAAGCTATCTTGGCAGTTTGCAATTTAAGCAATCTAGGATAATGCATGATTCACCTTTTATTCATAGTCAAACTTTGAGGAAGCTTGCTAAATCTAGTTTTGGGGAAGTTTTTAGTTATTTAGTGTGGCTTGTTTTTGGTGTTGTTACTCTACGGAGTCTACACAACCTTTTTTCGTCACCTATTTGGTATTGCCTTTTGGTAATGGTTTCTTGTGAGGTTTTCCTTTTCCTTTTGATCCTGGAGATTTTTTTTTGTTTTTTCTTATTTTTTTTTCCTTCTCTGTTTTGATGATACCTTGTCTCATTTATGTACTCCTATACTTTACTGTCAATAGTGTATCTTATTTCTAATTTAAATAATTGACCTGATTTGAACATGTTGACTCCCAAATATCCTGGTATTTAACATGGATTTGAGTCTTTGTGGACGCTTGGCAGTGGTAACAGAATTAGAATTTGCATGTCACTGATGCATAGTTGTATACTAGACTAGATACAGTTGTTCTACATGTAAACTTGTTGCACCCAGGGTTGCCAAAGTAAAATGAGGAAAGTAACTAGAAAGATTGTCAATCTATCATGGCAACGGACCCCTGGAACCTTAAGTTGTCTTCGTTTCTTTATCTCTGGTTGTATAGGTTTCTCTATTTTTTTTTAATTTTTTAATTTTATAAATATCTTATATTTCAGGTCTAACTTGTCATTTTAGAGTCATCTTCACATTTCATTGAATGTGGTGATTAAATTGGTTCTGCCTCATTTTCGAATTCTCTAGTTTGCTACTTTTACAATTCATTATTCGGCCATACTTCTCTGCTTTTTATTGGTTTTATTTTGTTTTGCAGATTTTTAACCCTAACGTTAAGCATGTAAGTTCCTCCTGAAGATGAATTGTTTGTCCAACAACTTCTGTCACGGATTCTACCATTTCCCTGAGAGTACAATGTTGTACATAGCACATCTGATTCTTCCCATTGTTTCGTCATAACCCCAACTGAGCGGTTTATGTTGGCTCAAGGCGGCTTCCATTGGTGTTCTGGTTATAATGATTGGAAAGATGTCACCAGACTTTTTACAAATGTTTCATTTGAAATTCATTGCCACAATTTAGGCCCCTGTTTAACTTCATCCAACTTGCTGAGATATTGTAACTTGTCATTGGATAGGTACAGTTGTAATTACATCAAACCTTCATAAAATTGAAAAGAAATTGAGTATTGGAATTGAAGTAATTGCCTATTGTGTCATTGCTTCCGGAGTTTAGGCATGACAAATGTACATATACAAGTAGCATGAAGAATAATTTAGCAGCAATTATAGAAGTCAATACTATGCAAACGAAAAATGTCAATACTTTTGGCTATACGGAACTCAATATACAATTGAATCCTAAAATGGGACCAAACAATACCAAACTGGCTATATATTTCATATTTATTACTATTATTATTATTACTACTACTACTATTATTACTATTATTATTATTATTGTTATTATTATTATTATTATTATTATTATTATCTGTTTTGGGATTGATGAAGCATATTCATCAATTTTTAGTCTAATGGCGTACAATAAGTAGATTGATTGTTTGTGAAAATCTTTTGGATTTGGGTTTCCTTGGTTGACATTTGGTTTTATAAAATAAGTTAAGTGAGTCGTGATGCTAACTAGTAATCAAAACATACAAAGTATACTTAAATGATGAATTAATTAAAAGTAAGATAATGATAATTCACGTATAGGTGATGGCATGGTCGATGAGATATGGAGTTATGTAGTAAAAGAGAATGTTCTCATGGTATATATGTAGTAGGAATTGAGAAAGAAAAAGAGACATTGGCTAAAAAATGACTAAAGGAAGGAGAATGAGCTTTGTTTCAAACTTAATCAAGCATTAACTGAGACATTGCCAATTTAAACAACCATACACAAACTCAAATTCAAACACCAGATAGCAAGGCCAATCATCAATCAATCACAGGTAGTCTCTACTCAGTGAGATAGACATTGAAATGTAGGATGGTGTCCACCCCATCAGTGGTGTGCTGATCCTCCTTCAGAAGTGTCTCAAGTGCAGCATATCCTCTAGCATTCTCATACTTCCCAGATCCACCAATCACAGCTATCTCAGATTCATGTGAAGCAGTCCTATGAACCCCAAAGAGGTTTATACTGTCCTCCACCCCATCATGGTGTTGTTCATGTTCTCCACCATGCATCAACACTGTGAGCACAATTGTTTGGCTTGAACCGTCCAACGAGCTCGCTAAGTAGAACCCTTGTGCCCTTCCGATAACAGCAGAATCCAGCTCGTGCCCTTCTGTTATCTGGTCATCGATCACTGTCACGGATCCAAACATGAGCTTCTGGATGGTGAAGCCTGCAGGGAGGTTGCCTGCTGAAACAAAAGGCTGGTTGTTGCTGCCTGTGACAGTGTTGCTGGTGCCACTGTTCTTGAACACAGTGGAGGATTGTGCACCACTGAGGCCTACTAGGTTTGGGAGGTTGTTGTTGGTAATGATGCCATTGAGCTTGGGGTTAACAAGAGGGATTCCTCCAGTGATGGGGAAGAGGTTGTTATTGAGCTTGGAGAATGGTAGGCCTGTAACATCAGTGTTGGCTACTATTCCTGCCACCACTCTTGCTGAGGGGTGTGACCCTCCAAGGATGTCATGCATGAAGAAAGCGAATGATGGCTCTTTTGCCACTGCACTTGGTGTTACTGGTGTTACATCAGGGATGGGTGAGACTTCTGGAGTTTCCCCTGGGGTTGGAGTTGCCACTGGGGTGATGTTAGTGTCCTCAGCTGGGGCTTCTGTTTCTGGAACTGGTGGGTCTGCATTATCATCTTCATCTCCTGAGTCTTCTGATGCAGAAGGGGTGATGGTGGTGTCTGCAGGTGTTTGTCCACTTGGTAAAGTGGTGGCAGGAACTGCCTGTTATGATGCACATATCCATATATATCATATCTTTAAATGGATATAAATTTATAAAACAGTAAATATATAATTGCAATTATTCAAATCCAAATTAAGAATATACTTTTTGGTCATTAGTAAAAATAAAATTATAAATCATTGATCATCATAAACCACTTCCTATAAGAATAGTATCAGTGCGTGTTTACTACCTCGTGAAGGATCCATGTTAACAGCAAAATCACGTAAAAAAACAATACAAAAGCAACTATTAGTTGCTTCTTGGATCCATGTTCATTGATGTTTGACGCGTTTCCAAACATATTGTCAATCTTATTCCTTTCTTGAAATCGTCTATAAATAGGACAATGTCTACTTTTTCGTCACTAAGGGATAATACCTCTGTTTTTATATTACACGTACTTCTATGTCGCATTGTTAGCTATATTAGATTTTCATAACATTTTTCAAAAGTATGGATACTTAACATGTAAGTATGGATGATGTATCTAAGATTATCGATATAAGATGGGAATAAATGAAGTATCCAATGATACCAGTATCAGATATTGATACGTGAAACAAATTTAAATATCGGTGCTTCGTAGCCTACCTGCGATGTGGTGGTGGCTGTAGGTGTTTGGCCGCTTGGCAAAGTGGTGGCAGGACCTATCTGTGGTGTAGTGGTAACTGGACCTGTTGTGAGTGAAGGATTGGCAACTCCAGGTGCTGGTAGATTGCCAATGGCTTGGGGTTGGGATTCCACTTCATCTAGAATCCTTGCTGAGTTGGCAATGAATAATGTCGTGGTTAGGAATAAGAGGCAGAGGGTGCTACCATTGTGTAGGAAAACGCTGGCCATTTTAGACACAAGAACTTGTACTTCACTGGGGGATTATGAGTTTTACTAGGATTTGAGAGGACGATTTTGTTGTTGATGAAGCTGATTTCGGGTTGTGTTATATACACACACACACACTCATAACTAGAGGGTATGCATTTAATCTTCATGTGGAGCTGATAGAATATTTGGTCAACGAAAATGAGGAAAGAAAACTACAATATGGAGTGGTTGGATGTTGATCTGTTATATGGGGTGTTTTGGTTAAAACAACTCCTCTTCAATTAGTAGTATTGGCATTTGTTGCTAACACAACTACATGATTAAAATCGCATTGCTTAATGAAGTGATAAATAATTGGATGATCATGTAAAGTTACTTATACATAGCCTAATGTCTACTTTAGTATGAACAAGATTCATGTAAACATCATTGGCAGGGGATATCATTAGATTGTAATTTCCCAGAGAAATGAAGTTAGCAAAAGTTAGATGGGTTTTAATTTACGACGCTCACTAACAAAAGATTTGGTTTTCAGTAAAATTATTAAACGCAAGGTATCCAAACATAGCATAAATGATTTTTCATGTGCAATTGTTATTCCTTAAAGCGATGGGAGTCAGAGTCAATTTTTCTCAGGGACTATAGTTTTAAATCGGACAAAGAGGTTGAAGAACACATTAAAATTTTGTTCTTACATTTAACTTATTTTTCGATTTAATTTTTCATATAAAAATGTTTATATATCTATATTTTATGCAAAGTATAAGGACAAAATAAAATGTATCAAAATATAAATTTTTATTTTATGTAGGAATCAAAATGAATTTTTTTTATTATACAGTGATTAAAATGAAAAATGTTGTGAAATATAAAGACTAAATCTAGCAATATTATAATTTTGGAAAATGACAAGGACCAACTAATTTTTAACATGTAGAGATTTTAATAAAAATAATGTTAGGTGTAGGAATAAAATTTTTAGTTCAATTCGAGCATAGAAAAAAACTTTAACAATGGTTTATTTGAAGGAAAGATTGGATGGTATAAAAATTAATTCTTTTACATTTTAAATGTGGCCATGATTTGTTTTTTTTTTATTTTTAAATGGGATAAATGCAGTTGTGTCAATTTAGTGAGAAAAAATTTAGTGGGATAAATTTAAACCTTATTATTAACATTGTAAGAAAAAAGGGATAAAACTATGATAAAAAAATTGTTACTAGTTGTCTAAAGGAACAATTTTTTGTTCTAAATAATATTAGACAATCTACCAACTATCCTAAATTTCTCCCGCATATTTTCATTACCTATATTATTGTTACCCTAGCCACGATGTGTCATCACTTAAAACCGATATATATGAATGTATTGTTAGAGTACAACTAAAATTCCACATTTATCCACTTACTTTTTCTTTCTCTCTTTTTCCATCACCTAGCTTGTCACATCTTTTCTCTCCTCTCCTTTTTTAATTTTTCATATCTCTTTTCATTCTGTCTCTTGTACAAAATTTGGGTGTACAATAAATGAATTGATTATTTGTTGCTTAGGTTCAAATTTAAATGTGTTTAGTTTAATTAATTCACTTTAAAGAAATTTTAAAATATTATTTTAAAAAATAATAGTTGCATTTTAAAATTCAATCTATTCTAAATAAATATTAAAATAAAAATATAAGAACTATTCTAAATTTTTCAATAAATTTAAAACAAATCCAAATATGAAAAAAAATGTTTAAACTAATTTTTTCCATTGAGTATTAATTAGATGGTCTATTAGATTTGAAAACAAGAGAAGATGAACTGTTATCTGTCCATTTAAATATGTAAACCATCCAATCTGATTCTAAGAATTGATGTTTGAATAATTGAATTACCTTTATGAATTAAATAAATTATAGACAAATGAATTTCTTTGTGATTCCAATCTACCACCGATAATGCTTATTGAGTAGTTGTTGGTTATCCCTAGCTAGCTAGCATCTATTAATTTTGACAAATTTGCTCTGCAAAACGGTGTAGCGTGCCATTGATTTGATAAAAGGATCAATATCTATGCCAGCAATTCCCCTCTTTTTCTCTAGCACCAAGCATGCAATTGCTACTGCTACCTGGTTTTCGCTTTCAAATAAAACAGATGCTATACAACTATAATAGAACATGTTTTCAAAGTCGAATAACAAAGTTCAACGTAACCAATTTTGGTGCATGAAAGAGATGTTTGTGGAAAGAACACAAATTTTTTTTCCAGTGTGTAGCAGCAGCAGTGGAAAACGACTCGTGAGTGGGTTTTGGCTTTGATTTTGTGGTACCAACTAAGGTACTATGATGCAAATTGCAATTACCTTTTCCTTGATTATGAGTGCTGTTGATTGTTAAATTATGCACTTAAAGAGTCCAAAATCCTACTTCAGAAACCTCTTAGCCTCATATGTTCCCAAAAATAATTTTCTTTATGCCCCCACATAATTTAATTTTAAGCTTAGCTAAAGATACTTGTATCCTGAAATGTTTTATTTACAGTGCTATAGCCAATTGATGATGTCTGAGAACACAATCTTAAAATTTCCAGGTGTCTCTGCCTACAATGGACCATACAATACAATACAACAACATTCATGAATACAGCTCTATTGTCTTACCTATGCTCGAGGCCACGCCACATCATGTAGTTGCTAGCTGATTGATTTAATTAATAATTACTTGACATGGTGGTCCTCACCATGTAGAAACCAGAAAGGGAAGTGAAACCTAACTCATAGCATATGAAACTTAGCATTGAACAGTTAGTTTCTGAACTGACCTTAGTATTTAGCTTGTTTTCAAGCAAGCCTTATCTTTTTTTTTCTTTTTTTTAAATTTTTATAACCATGGTACTTTCTTTAATCAAAAGCTATGAACTAATCATTTAAAATAGTGAGATTCATTTAAAAAAGTGTTATATTTCAACGAATATTTTTTATACAAAAATAGAGATCGTAGTCTTGACTATATACTTGATAAATAAATTTATTTACTAATCACGCCATGCCTTATTTGTAAGCAAGACTTGTGTTTTGTAGTTTTTTGTATTCTCCAAAACATGAATAGCATTATCATCTACTATATGTAGTTTGTTAAGGTTTTTGGTATTTAGCATGGACTCAACCTTGTCATGTACAGAGTGAACCTCATAGGTGGATTCCATAACTTGTGTGTGCGATATGTATCAAAGCATAATATTCCCGGGTAAAGTAAAAATTTCAATTTTGAGGATACTTTTCTCTACTAAAGATTGACCATTTTTCATTAATTTAATCAGAGTAGTTCCAAAAATTTGACTCTACTTTAATGCATAACGACAGTTATTGTGATCTGTTTCCATATGTTATACAGAAGGGGAAAATTCGGGTCTACCTAAAAATAAGATTTATTCGAGTGACGAGGCAGTATATGCTTTTTTTTTTTTTTCATTTAACTAAAATTACATGGGAGGTAAAAAATTGAAGTATCTACCAATAAATGCATGAATCTAAAGTAGTGATTCAAAGACATGTCCCTTTATTATAAATACTCATTTTATATCCGATTATTCTCTATGTGAAATAATATAATTATGTTATATAGAAATTGACCTCGACCACGTTGTTTCCGGCCATGTAATAATTTCTCTCTAAAAGAAGGAAGAAAATATAACCACTTAGTTCCATATACATCCGTCTTCTTTTCGATTTGGACAAAAAGGAGTCTAAAATATAAAATCATAAATACCCTTATTTATATTACATTTTTTTCTTTCACTCTCTCTTACCAAATAACCTTAAAAAGTTATTTTATTCTTTTTCCTCTTTTTTCTTTCTCTCTTTTATTTTCTTGGTTTCACCTTTTCTTCCTGATCCAAATTGAGCATAAATTTGTGGATACCTCATCTGATCTCGGAAATTTTGAAGGAGATGTAATTTAAAATGTTGGGTTGGGATTTATTTTCCATGATTAAATGAAGTTGCTGAGTGCGATTGGTACAGCAATGATCGACGGGTATGGTCTCAATTCATCTGCTCTCTGTACAATATTTCATGATTTCAACTTAGAATCGCTTTCATGTGAAGATAGAGTTAAGAAATTACTTCACCTTTTTTTCCTTTTCTCGGTGGCAGTGACATAATTCAAAATAATTTGTCAAACATGTATTAGTTATATCTTCATCATGTTTAAAAGATTTACATACAAAATGAGGCTCTAAATAAGACAGAAAACTTGTATTCAAATTTCAAACACGTGTCAATTTGTTGCCAATGAAATTCGTTAACAACATCAGTGTTTAACCTCATGTTGCATGATTCATACAGAAAACAATTAATCCTTAAAAAAATCATAAAGTATATTATGGGTGAATGGGTGATGGTATCCCCATTTGCCTAGAAAAGTTGTTGCTATTCTTTTTATGATTACTAATACAAATGTTCTTAGCAAACAAATTAAGAGTAATAAAGGGTATTGATGAGTCACTTTCTGAATAAAGGGTTTTGTAGATTTGACATTACATGGGTTGGAACTGGTTAACTTGTAAAATTCATGACTGGGATTGGAGATAGTAATCCCTTGGACACCACTCAACCTAAAGCTCAGTTTTGGCTTTAGATATCAACAACCTATTATAGTTTATATTTATATCTGTATCCACTATCCACGGATGGGATGGGATGGGCCCATTCCATATTTTTGCCTCAAAAATCAACAAAAATTTATGTATACACCATATCCACTTATATTTAATTAGATGTCACCACACGTGGGAAGGGAAAAATGGACATCTAATTATTATATACTTATTTATTCATTATTAAAGGTGGACATACAGCTGAAATTTGAGTAAAATACGTCACATCTTAATTTTAAATTTTATTATTCTCATGAATAAAATAAATAAATAAAATTTAATTATTAGAGATGTGACATGTATTATGAAAAGGAATAGTTTTTACTTTTTATTTTAAAAGGTTAAGTTAAATCTATTTTTATTTTTTAAGATACAAAATAAAGTTAAATTGATCATTCAATCTGTAATTTCAATCAATTCTTTTTTTTGTCAATCATTAAAATTATAACATTAATTATAATTTTAGTCTAT